GCTTCACTGAGTAGCAGCTGAATGGGCAGAGGAAAGAGCAAGGCTGTTTCAGACGGAGAGATCTGGGAGTATAAAGAACTCTGTGTGCAAGGCCACAGGGCTCCTTTGAGGGATGAAAAGAAAACCAGAGGCGGGAATGTTTTAAAGGGCACCGAGTTTTAATTGGGGCAGATTAAAAAGCTCTGAAGAGTGGTGCTGGTGACGGCTGCACGACAGTGTACGTGTACTGAGAACTGTGCCCTCAAACGGCTAACATCATGAAGTCTGTTGTGTACGTTTCCCCACCCAAAAAGAGTTTAGAGAATAGAGGAGTGGGATGGGAAGCCTTAGAGAGAAAAGAGGGAGCCAGAGTGGAAGGGTCAAGTTTGCATTCTGTAAAAATCACTTCGGCTTCGAAAGCTGCGATCTAAGTGGAGATGCCTCAGAGAAGCTGTGGTGGGACTGGCCAGGAGGCCACTGCAAGAGAGGCCGCAGCTGGAATGCAGGCAGGGTGACCAGGAAGGTAAAGAGAACTGGAATTCACAGATCTGGAGAATGCCAGAAGGGAATCTGATTTGGAAGAGAAGAGATCACAGATGTGTCTCAGACTAGCTGAATTTGAGGCACCTTTGAGAGTTCTGGTTAGGGTGCTGTGATGGTTAGTTTTGGGGTCATCCTGACCGGCCCTGGGGATGCCCTGATAGATGCTGGCGCATCGTTCATGAATGTGTCTGTGAAGGTGTTTCCACAAGAGTTGGACATTCGAATCCATGGCGGGAAGGAAGATGTGCCCCACGCCCAGTCTGGATGGCCACATCCGACTGCTGAGCCACACGAAAGACAAGCTCACTCCTCTAGAGCTGGGACACCGCTCTTCTGCCCTTGGCATCGAACCCCAGATTCCCTATGTGGCTCTTGGCCTTCCCAGCAACACCTGTCCTAGGACTCAGCCTTGAGCTAAAGTTACACCATCAGCTTCTTTGGTTCTGCAGCCAAGCCCCCATCGGGATGGACTTGTACCAAACCAGCCACTAGCTCCCCTCGTTCTGCAGCTCATACGTGACCTACCATGGGATGCCTCAGCCTCCATAATCATGTGGGCCAATTCCTCTAATAAACCCCTCTCATGAAGCATAGATGTCCTCTCCATTCTGTCTCTGCAGAGTCCCGGCTACCAGAGGTCACCACAGCAGTGGAATGTGCAGGTTGCTGTTCAGTTTAGAAGTCTGAGCTGGACTCATGAAAGTCATCGTCACATGGGCGGACCCAGGGCTCACATAACCAGATAGAAATTACAAAATGAGACCAGGAGAGCTGTGATAGAGTCCAAGATGGCCCCGGGGATCATTATCTCTTGGTGTTCAGGTCCTTGCACATGGTCCCCTCCCACACTGACCCAGGGCCAGTCCCTGTGACAAGTGATAAGGAGGCTGAGTCATCACAGACACAAAGGAGAAAACCCAGGAGATTCGGGGTTGGAAGAGGAGATTGAACCAGAGGTAGTAAATGTGCCAGGACGAGAAGTGGGAAGGAAATTCGGTGCTAGACCTATAAACCTGGAGCTTTCAAATGTGGAGCCTTGGGTGCTGTAGGAAAGGGCCTCACTGCTGACTGGCAGAGCTGGGTGGCTCTGGCACCAAAGTGGACTGGCAGCAGGGCTAAGGTGTAGCACCTGAGGTCCTAGCCCTCATCCCATCACGGTCACTTTGGCTCCAGGCCACTGTCCTCTTCCCAGACTTTCCTCCCTTCACTCCTGACCTCTGCATCACCACAGAAGAGCTCCACCTCTGATTATTCGTAACCTGTCCTTTGTCTGTTCTCCCAGTTCCACCCTGTTCTCTGGCCTGCAGAGACTTCCAGTGCAGCTGTCCACCCACTGTCTTCTAGCGATGAGTTCCTTTCAGTTTTCACTCCCTTCCCATTAGCTGAGAGCCAGGGTCCACCACTCCCATCACATGCTCCCCACACACTGACACCACTGGCAGTCACCACCTGTCACGCCTGCCTGGCAGCACTCCAGCCCTGGAAGAACCCAACCTTCTGCCTTCCTTGCGCCTGCTCCTGGGCCAGTACTGCTAGACAAAATCTCACAACCCTGTAGATCATTGCTACGTATACTGCCGGTCATTAATGCCATGTGGCAGCCCAATTCTAACTCTTCTCCAAGCCCCCAAATATCCCATTCTTCAGCCTTCTTTGCTCTTCTAGGTGCCTCCTTCACCCAAGAAAGAGCAACCATCAAAACGTCTATAAGCTCCGACAACTCCTTTCCTCCGGCTACCACCTTCTTTCTGTGTCCCCTTTACAGCCAAACCTCTAGAATACGTGGTCCAATTGGACACTCCATTGCTTCCCTTACCACAGTTTCTCAGTCCTCTGAAACTCTGACTTCTGCCTCACAGCTGACACTGCCCTCGACAAGGGCATCAAAGATCTAGTCTTTGTGTTGCTTGACCTTTCCATATAGCATTGCTGTCCTAGCTTTTCTTTTCCATTGCTCTTTTTTCCTTAAATTCTCAGACCCCAGGCTTCTCTGGTTTTGGTCTCTTTCTCCTCCTCAGTCTCTTTTGCAGCCTCTTTTCCTCTACCACGAGGGAAAGCTGCACATGCACCTCAGGCCATCTCACCCACTGCAGGATCCCAAGCAGTTTGGCCACGTGATGTTGCTCAGACCTGTACCTCTGGTCCCGCCTTTGTCCCTGAGTTCCAGCCCCAAGCACCCAGGCATGACTCCGACATCTGTGTGACATTACATCCAATTGTACATGTTCACCGCGGTGCATTCCTCTCCATTCCAGTCTAGCTTCTCCTCACTTTCTACCTCCATGGGTGGCATCACTGGTCTCTCGGTTGCCAAGGCAGAACCCCAGGAGCATCCCTGACTTCCCTTAGGTTTCCCCTCCCTAGTCCATCACCAAGGTCCAGCGAGTCTACTCCCGTGCCTTTCAAATGCACACCGTGGTCGTTGTGCTCACTCCCTCTGAACTGTACACCGGCAGCAGCCTTCTCAATGCCCCTTTCATTTCTCATTTCACTGCCCTACCTACCTTTCTCCATCTTGAAGCCAGGAAAACTCTGAGACACTGCTGACTTCGCTCTTCCACCTGAAACCATCCATGGCTTTCACTCCCCCTAGGAGAGGGCCCAGGCTTTGGACACCTGCACAACCTCTGCTTCTTCTCACTGAGACGTCTCTTCCCTTCGAGCGCTTCCTGTGTGCCGAATCAGGGTGGTCACCCGCACCTGCTCCACCTGAACACCATCTTATCTTCTTGTCATTCTGTACTTGTCTAAACAGGAATGGGGCTGTGTAGGGCTGGACAAGGAATGCACCCAGCTCCTATGGTTCCTCCTCTGTCCACTGTTTTCCATAGAGCCTCTGAGGAATTTGCCTGGGGAGGGACCCTGATGTGGAGTTAGTGCAGGCCTGGCTACCAGAAAGTCCCGAGTCCTTCCCCAGCTCAGGGACGTCACCCCACTTCCCTCGTTGGTTTCACCCTTCTGTGACATGAGAATGAAATGAGATGGAAGTTGCTGAATTCAGGGATGGTGGAGGGAGGGCTGGGCAAAGCAGACGAGCCTGCTTTGGATCCCAACCACCACTCAGGATAGTGAAGCTCTAGGATCCACCCCTTGGAGAAGTCCAGACTGCTAAGATCTCCCTTCTGAACAGAGTGGCTTCTGCACCGTGTGCTTTAGGGAAAACCAACCTCATTAACATGTCCACCAGGAGGGACTAGAAGACCATGGCCACTTCTGCAGAGCTTCCCTGGTCACTAGGAGCCGCGGCAGGGCCCATCGGGCGAGCGCAGCTTCCCCATTGTGCCTCACAGCAGAACACCTTCGCAGTCCTGAAATAGCGAGGCTGCCTGCAGGGGGCCAACGAACAGACCAGGAAAACGGAACCCTGAAAACCTGGACCGTCTTCCAGTCTGTGACACTGGAGGAGCACAGCTAGAGACAGGAGGTTGAGATATCAGCCTGTGGCCGGCAAAGATACCAAGAATCAAAGCCAAGAAAGAAATCATTTAAATCAAACCCACTGAGGCAGGAGTGGGCTTCCAGGTGGCAAGGGACCCTGGGTAGAATAGTCGCCATAGTAAACTATGCCTTTACTTTATTGGCATAGCAAAAAATCAAACCCGAGGGTGCAGACTTAAAACGGTAATGAGATGTGTCACGTGGTGTGGCAGGACAAACAGCGCAGGCGCATGTGGGCACTGCGATTGTGTCCCTCCCTCCCTGGTGGGAGCCATAGAAGCCATCCTGTACTCCCTCTTCCTTCTGTCTGGATCAGCCCGGGGCTCCTATCCACCCACAACTTTCCCCCTTACGCTCGAGTATAACAATAAAAGCCTGTTCTGTACCAAGGCACTTCTGATTCCTCTGATCGAAAGCACAAAACCAGCCAGGCACGTCCCTCATCCCAGTATTAAGGAGGCTGAGGTAGGAGGATCGCAAGTTCCAGCTCGGGCTGAGCAACTTAGCGAGACCCTGTCTCAAAAATAAATAAAATAAAGCCCCAGGATGTAGCTCTTTGCCAAGGCCCGGGGTTCAATCCTCAGTGCTGCAAACAAACCAGAAGAACGTAGGGAGTCAGTAACAGTACGGTGCACGAGCAGTGAGCGAGGGTTCCAGTGCTGACGGCCTCCACAGCTATGGGACAGAGCAAGTCGCCTCAGCTGCAAACCTAAGGAGCATCGTTACGGCCCAGAGGAAACCTACAGCCGACACCAGTGTTGTCCTAGCCCTGCAGAGCCCCGGAGTCACTAAGGTCGAAAGGGCAGTAGGGTTAGAGCCCTATCTATGGGTTGCAGTCGAATCCTACAGCTAAGCATGGGCTCCGCAGACGACGCCCTGCACACCCAGCCCGAATTCCACAGGTTTAGCTTTACAGACAGCGCAAGCGCACGCCGCCCGGCGGGACCCCAGGAGTCGTCGCTTTGCGCGTCCAATCATGAGTGACTTCCTTGTCCCCACGTAGGCAGGAGAACCAATCAGCTTCGAGATCGTACCGCCGCGCGCCGTGCTGCGTCATTCGGGGACCCGGCGGCGAGGCCAGACGTTGGCTTCCGGGCCGCCCCGGGAGATGTCTGTGGCTTTCGTACCCGACTGGCTGAGGGGCAAGGCGGTGGTGGATCAAGAGACTATCCAGCGAGTGAGCGTCGCCTCGGGCAGAGGGAGGCAGAGGGCGCGGGGGGCTCCCCGGAGCGAGGGCTTCCGGTGGGGACTTCAGGCCTGTGCAGCGTGTGGCCCTGCGGGTGTGGAGCGGACGGGGGCGGAGACCGCGTAGAAGCCGGGCCTGGCGGGCAACCCCGCCGCCGTCCTCGCGTGGCGCGCGTTGAACCTTCCTCTGGTTCTGCAGCTCCTAGAGGAGAATGATCAGCTGATCCGCTGCATCGTAGAGTATCAGAACAAGGGCTGGGCGAACGAGTGCGTTCAGTAAGTGCCCCTTCCCACCCCGGCCCTACGATGGGGGGAGAGCCAGGAGGAGGATGCAGCAGCTGTCCCGAGCTAGGGGTCTTAGGGATGGATCGCAGACGAGCCTCGCTTTGCAGGCGAGGAAAGGGAGGCCGAACCATACAGCCCGTGCTTTGCAGAACCTGGAGTTAGACGTGGCTTCGTTTTCAGAACTGGGTTATTCTCACTGCAAAGCCACCTGGGCGTGCAGTCTTGTCAGCTGATGACAGCAGGGATGGGGAGGAGGCGTGGCCCCTCTGAATTTCAGCTTCATCCCCCGTTGAGGAAGACCACCTGGCTACTAAGCTCCCTTTTCCAACTCACAATCTGTGAGCAACCCACAAACACCAGCAAAGGATTTCCAAGTTAAGCCAAAGGTAAATTCTGGATAACAATGTGCTTTCCAGCCAGGTGCCAAAATGAGAGAAAATAGAATCTGAATCTTTTTTCCAAATGTGGTCCATGAATTATGCCCCATTTCATATAGAGAATAATTATTTTGTTGTCCCTGAAGAAACTTTTAAAAAAGTCATGCCTTGGGCCGGGAATTTAGCTCAGTGGTTTTTCCGCCCGCTGCACAAGCTCAAGGACCCGAGTTCGATTCCCGATACCAAAAAAAAAAAAAAAAAAAAAAAAGAAAGTCATGCCTTACTTACCTCCTAAAGTCACCTACAGTGGCATAGTAAGTCTTGGTGTTTGACTGATATTTAATAATTTTGTTTTTTACAGTTTATAATAAGTACTTTATTTTTCTATGTGGGAAACAGTTGCAGAGTATTCCGTTTGGTGCTGTGATTTTTAATGCACTGCAAGAAAGTTACCGAAATCATTCTATAGTGCTTTTCTACATTATACAAGCCACGCTTCTGAGCCCTAGTTTGATTGTTTTTCAAAACAGAGAGGTCTGCCCCTTGATTGAGAATCACTGCTTAAGTAAGTTCTCATTGATCATGGAAGTGTCTTATTCCTTTTTGAAGTTTGTTCAACAGTACTATAAAGTACTGGTCAGTGTCAGCAAGAAATATAACAGCTCTACTTTCATGGAGCTGATATTCTAGACTCTGAAAGGAGGGAATATTTAGGTGCATAATAGTAAGTATTTTGGGTGAGAATAAAACAGGGAAGCAGAGGACTGGTGGCTAGGTAGAGCAGTAGCATGCATGAGGCCTTGGGTTTGATCTGTAACGTTGCAAAATAAAGAAAGTAGGGCAAGTAGGAGGAGCTATTTTAAAAAGTGTCTCTCATAAGGTGACATTTATGAAGAGACCTGAGCTGAGGGAACTAGCTATGCAACTGGAAGTCCCCATAGCATACAAAGGCTCAGCTTTACTCTGAATGAGATGGGAGCCTTTGGAGGATTTTAAGCAGTTAAGACATGATCTTGACTTAAGTGATCACTGAGATTGCTGTTTGGAGAATAAAACAGAACTGTCAGTGTAGATCTAGGAGACAATTGTCATGGTCCAGGCAAGAAGTAATAGTGGCTTAGTCCAGAGAAGTAGCTCTGCAAGTGGTAAGAATGGCTGAGATTCTGGATATATTTTCCTTAAGTTTGACAAGAAGGTTGCTAACACTGAATCTAGTCAGTGGTTGAGCCATTCTGCTCGAATGAGTCTTTCTTTTCCAGGATTTTGATCATGGTCCATAAAAGCTAGCTTTTACTAATTATTGCTTGTTTTCACCCTTAGGTATCAGCAGGTGTTGCATAGAAATCTCATTTACTTGGCTACCATCGCAGATGCCAGCCCAGCCAGTGCTTCAGAAGCAATGGAGTAATTTTTCAGCTGGCTGTTGTGAGAAGTGAGTGAATATAATCTGGCTCCTATGAAATGAAGACAGGATCTTTACCACCTCAACTGCTTAAAGCATGAATGAAACCACTGTGCTTCTTTTTCAGATGTGAAGAAAGCTACTAATTTAACTGTATTCTCAATGTAAATATTTATTTTAATAATAAATCAGATCCTCAGTGAGTTGGCTCCAGGTGTCCTCTTTCCTGGAATGGGAATGTGTTTTGGGCATCTTCAAGACTACGTTTTAGTTTCAGCCTGAAGAGGAAAGTGAGTTGGTTTTGAGCAACCAGCAAGAATTGGAGGGGCTAGGGATGTAGGTCAGTGGTAGAGCACTTGGCTAGCGTGCTTGAGGCTCTGGGTTCAATTCCCAGTACCAAACAAAAGGTACATTATGTACATGTCCCCACTCATCATGATGAGTGTAATCATCATGTACTGATCCAAATCTTAAAATGAATTTTAAAAAAGTTGTTGAGACTCCTGACTGAAAGCCTGCCAAATGGACAGGTATCTGTATGCTCCTCACCAGCAAATAATGGTCCCCCTGGCTGTGTTCTCAGGTTCTTTTGAAATAAACCTTAAGGGCTGGCAGCCTGTCCCCAGGTAGGTTGTAGTGGTGCTGCCTTGCTGACCAGACCCTGCATTACACATGCTCTAGGCTTGGGCCTTGGCACTCCTGTGGAACCGCACCTGCGGGTGGCACACCTCTGCTCCACCTGGACTCTCACTGCATCCATAGGAGTTGCAGCATGGCAACCACTGGATCCCAGTCAGCATCTCTTACAGCTCCTCAGCAGCATTCACGTTGCCCCAACTTTGCTTCTAAGTTGGAAACCTCTGTCTCCTTCCAAGTGAGAGGATCTCTGAGGAAACGCAAGAAAAAATTCCTACCACTTTTAAATCACACTGGAAAAACATGAGAATCTAGGATTTGTTGAAAAAAGGAGTTATGGAATGGTGAAGGAGTGGAGGAATAAAGGTGGTAGAATTGTGGCCATGAAGAAGTTCTTAGAAGGATGACAAAATGATTAAAAAATTCCTATGTTAGCACGTTACTAAAGCAACTGAGGCATGAGAACTTGATGACTGTTGAAGGTGTGTGAAACAAAAAAGATGGTACCTGGTCTTTGAATTGGTTGACCCCACAATTCTTGATGACTTGGAACTCTTTGTAAATGGATTAGATTACCAAGTAGTTCCAAAGTATTTACTTCAGATTATTAATGGAATTAGATTTCATCAGTCGCATCATACACAGAGGTGTAAAGCCAGAGACTTTTAGTCTCCCAGTCTGGTGTGAATTTATGTGACCAGGTTTTCATGGACATTGGCAGCTCCTCAGGGTTTATGCTGATTATGTAGCAGCCAAGCAATACAGAGCTCCAGAACTATTGGAGATGTCAGGTATGGCAAGGGTGTTGTATGAGCCAGTGGTTGTCTGGTAACTAAAATGCTTGTGGAAGGCTGGGGATTTAGCTCAGTGGTTCTGGCGCCTGCCTTGCAAGAGCAAGGTCCCGAGTTCGATCCCTAGTACCAAAAATAAAATGCTTGTGGAGGAGCCACTGTTTCTTGGAGATTTGCATATCAATTAGCTCTATCATAGATGTGTTGAGGCAACTTAATTCTAAGATACCAAGAATCATTCTGTAAAAATTCTGCATTTGCTGGAGTATGATTGCCTAAAATCAAGGAAGTAGAACGTCCTAAAAGACACTATCCTAAACTCTCTGAAGTTGTTTTCTGTTGTTTTTGGTTGGTTGGTTTTTTGAGTCAGGGTCTCACTGTGTAGTCCAGGCTGGCCTTGAACTTGCAACCATCCTCCTGCCTCAGCCTCCCGAGTGCTGGGAACACAGGGTTGCACCACCACGCCTGGCTTTAGTTGTGGTAGAGTTTTTACATGTTGACCCAGACAAAAGGCCCTTCTGTGCTGAGCTCCTGCACCATGATTTCTTTCAAATAGGTGGATTTGCTGAGAGATTCTCCCAGGAACTACAGTTAAAGATGCAGAAAGAGGCCAGGAATATTTGTTTACCTAAAAAAAAAAAGTTCCAAAACAGAAAAGGAAAAAGAGCTGGATGTCATGGCACACACCTGTAACCTAGCACTCAGGAAGTTGAGGTGGGTGAATTGCTGCGAGTTCAAGTCCAGCCTGAACTACAGAACAAGACCCCATCTCAAGAAAAGAAAAAGATAAATCCTTAGGTGAAGAAAGAAAAACACTTGTGGTACAGGATACCAATGCTAATACCAAAATAAAGGATTCTAAAGTATTTAAAGAGTCAAAAATTGATGGAGAAGTTGAAAAGGCCATAGAGCTTCGAAGGCCAGCTGTCTTTGCAACAGTGAGACAAGCCACAAGCAGTGCCTTCCACCAGCCTCAGAGATGGCAGCAGGGTTACAGGTGACATGAGAAGCCCCACTCACGCACAATCTCACAGCGGCTCCCCAGTGTAACCCTGGAATGAGGGCTGTCCCAGGAGTTGAGCGTTACAGAGTGGATAACAAAACCAAGAATTATATTCCACTTGTTAAGCCAAATGTTCTCCACCAGGAATTAGTATATTAATGTGACCACATCCATCTCCAGCAAAAAGAACCTCCTTCAGGTAAATAAAAGAATGGACTACTCCAAGACAAACGTCTGTTTGCCTGAACTAAGCTGTAATCAACTCCCTGAACCGAGAGCCTTGAAAAGCGTAACTCAAAATCCCAGACTAAGAAAGGAGAACAGAACTCTGAGAATCTTGCGCACCTTCCCCAGCTGCTACTGACCTGCATGCCCCAGTGTGGCATCACATCAGATGCTCACTTTGGATGGAACAGGCCCTAGAGGGACCATCGTCATTCTGAATAGGGTGCTGCACTTGACATCCTTTGCAGCAAGAGGGCTGAGAGCCTAGGAGGAGAGATTTGTAGTTGCAAAGGTTTCCTTCTGATTGCCTGCTTTTTCTAAGAAAGGCTTTGCAGAAGAAGGAAAGACAAAGACTGCAGTTGTTTCAAGGGAAGATGAATCAAGTGCCCCTCCCCTGATTACTCTGTCACCTTGCCAGATGTTGATGCCAAGATACAGCGAATGAAAGAATGGTAATATGGATCTTGTTACCTGAGTGTATTTGCTGACAGTAGACTGTATGTTTAAAGTTAGCCAAGATTAAAAGTGAGAAAAAGGAGTGAAATACTGTAAACAGTCATGTTTACTCATGCAATGAAAATAATAAACCTTGCTTTTCCATGAAAGAAGGTGGTGGAGAGACAAGTTTCCATATAATAAGTGTACCGTTTGGTTTCCTCAAACTGTACAGAGTAATAGCTGTAAGGTACTTTTAATAACCGTAAGGTATTTAATAATTATAACATTGTTGCCAAAGAAATTAATAGTGATTCTTAATTACCATCTAATAGCATCATAAGAATGTGCCGTTTTCTTCAGTTACAAAAAGATGTCATTTTGTTGATGAATAGGGATCCAGACAACACTGACATATTCCATTTTGCTGATGTCACTTTAAAAATGATTAACAGTTCCACCTCATGTTGAAAACAAGTAGGTCATCTGCCCTTGACTTTCTCCTGCTCTGGGCCCATGAATTGTGCCCCAGAGGAGTCATTAAATGTGTGTCCCTCACTCAGCGTTACCATAAGCTGGGAGACCCAGAGGCTCCGGCTCCAAGAGGCTCAGGCTGATACTCAGGCAAAACTACATCGCGGGAGGGGCACATACTTGCTTTTGCACCACATCAAGATGCTGCCTGATTTCAGTTACCTTCAGGGTCCAGCAGCCTCACAACTTGAATGTGATCTACCCAGCTTGGCTCTTTTAATTCATTAGTGATTGTGTAATGGTGGTTTTCTAGTTTTGTCAGTCCTCTGCCTTTGTCAGCTATGTCCTATAAAAACTTCCATCTGTAGACTTACCCCTAAAAGGAGGCAGATTCTTGTCAAGGAATCCAAAATTAGCCCGGTTCCCTGTTCCTTTGACAGAGCCGGGTGGAACCCAGGGCGGCTATAATATGTAAATAGCGGAGAGGATTCATTTTGAATTCCAGTTTTGTCATTTAACCTTTGAGACCTCTGTTTCTTCACCTCTAAAAAGATAAAATGCCAGGCCTGGTGGCACGTGCCTGTAATTCAAGCACTCAGGAGGCTGAAGCAGGAGGATCGTCATGAGTTTGTGGCCAGCCTGGGCTACATAGTGAGTTCAAGGACAGCCTGAAATACATAGAAAACTCCTGTCTAAAAAAAAAAAAGATAATGAAAGCAGTATCTGCCCCCCAAGCTTCAGAGATTGAGATAATGTAGTAAATACTCCCGTGCTCTGATGGGTTAGTTGAGGGCGCTGGCCCTTCCTACCACACAGTCTGGGAACAAGCCCGTGCCCTGCTCCCCTCTCCATGTGCCATCCTATGGCTCTCGCCCGTGTGTAGTCTTCCTGGTGCTGGCACTGCCCGCTGGCACACGGGCGCTCATGGCCCCATCTGGTCAGCAGACGTGTTGGGCCGTGCAGCGTTTAGTTTTGAGTTGTAAGATCTCATGGAGTCTAATTCCCAGCAGTGCGGCGCCAGAGTGGCGTGTGGGCCGGCAGACCAGCTCCCGAGGCCTGGCGGGACCCGAGGAGCCGGGAGGTTGGGGTGGAGGAGGAACTGCCCCGAGACGGAGCTGGGTCACTGCGTCGGCCTGGGGACCCGCGCAGGAAGCCCGGGCTGAGACCGCAGGGCCGTCACTCCCTGCACTGACCCGCACCCTCAAAGGGGGCGCTCAGCATCGGAAGCCCGGCGCTCCGGCGGGACGCAGGCTCAGCCTGGGGAGCGGCCTCCCCGCGGGGTCGGGGACGGGGGAGCAGGGCAGACGCAGCCCTGTCGCCCGGGAAGGGCACTGAGACCGCTGCGGCCCCGTGCGTGGAAGGCTGTCGCGTCTGCAGGCAGAGAACCAAGCGGCAAAACTGAAGGCTGTGAGCGCAGCCCAGGCTGCCCGGTAAGGCGCGCCGCACAGCGCCTCCCGGGGAGCGGCCCGCCCCAGCCCACCCCACCTCACCCCACCCCACCTCACAGCTGTCTCGGAGCCCACGCCGAGCCTGCGCCGCGGAGACGCCCGACCTGGCCCGGGCCGGCTGCACTGTGCGCCTGCGCGGTCTCTGCCCTCCCGACAGCCACCGGGGCCTGGATTTCCCAGCCAGACTCTTC